TGGCAACGGGAAATGAAGTTACTGACGACCAAACTGGGTGCCGTTGGTCCGTCTCGTCTTCCGGGCTGGCGTCCACGTGACTCGCCTTGTGCTTGGCTCGAGACTTTACAGGACATGGCTCGCAATCGACACCAGTGGCGCGTCTGCTGCCGTCTCCTAATCGGATTGCCTGTTTCAAGTGTGTTTGGTGCTGAGTTATCTGTGGGGTAATGGTTGATTATGACACGTGGCAGTGAAAGCCGCAAGGAAGCTGTCTCGCCAATGCCGCCTTATGTTTGCACGATAGTCAGCTGTTTGTGACGATATGTTGTCTACACAAGGTGTAGGCGCCTTGGCCCTGAATGTTTGCTTAGGGCATTAAGGTTTTCAGGTAAGTCCCCCTTCTCTCCCACTTATTCTTTATTTCATAGGTCCTCATGGTTGTATGGCAGCGAAGCATCAGTTCAAACAGCTGATGTACTGCAGTTGAATCACCTGCATACGGTGCTTGTGGTACCATCGCTGCTATTTACTGATGACCTGAAGCTGTGGAACATTATCGATGTTCTCGGGGGTTCTGAAACTATTCAACGAGCGTTGGATAAGCTTTGCGACTGGTCTACTTTATGGTTACTATCCATAAATCAGGCAAAGTGCTCCGTTCTCTGAATTGGAGGAGGTTGTCCTCCTGCGAAGTACTTAGTCGGGGGGATCGAACTCCCCCGTGTATCTAGCCACGTCGATCTAGGCGTCGTACACTCTTCTGCTTTACACTCCGGCAATGACTGGAAGTAAGCCGCAGGCAGAGGTTTTCGCATTTTGTGGTTAATACGACATTTTTTCGGAGTCTTGACGGGTGGCATCTTTACGAGACTCTTCACGGTTTTTGTTCAGCCTCATCTGGTATACTACGTCCAGACTTGTCCGCCCTGCCTCGTCCGGGACAAAATGAAGCTAGAGAGGGTTTTACGGGTGGGTACTAGGTTAGTCGAGGGATTACGAGAACGGACGTACCCCGAGCGTCTACTTAGTTTGGGAATGCATTCAATGCATTACCGAAAGTTTAGAGGAGACCTAATCCTAACCTACCGTATCTTAACTGGGAAGGTTGGTCCAGATTTATCTTAGCTGTGCAGTCCCGCTAAGTTGTCTGTTCTACGCGGTCATTCCTTGATGCTGGACAAATCGCGGTCCGATCGGATTGGGGCGGAAATCCGGCTGTCACGCCTAGTTATCGACCGCTGGGACATGCTTCCGGAAAGTGTTATCAGGGAGTCTACGGTTAAGGGGTTTGAGCGGCAACTTGACGCTCTTAGGTGGCAACGCGAAACTTTTTCCTGACTTACTCGCATCTACATACTTCGATTTTCTTTGCTCTACTTTTCTTCATGCCTTGGTATTATTTTCTTATTCCAGGTGGACTGCCTTGTTTTGTACCCTCAATTTCTCTTCCTATCGTTTGCCTACTTCACATGACAGCCACAGCAGGGATTGCTAGGGCAGGAAACGTGGGCATTAACTGGTTGGCCAAGGTGCGATACTGCTGTTCCGTTTTAGATCCATCAATAACTCTGTGCACTTCATCTATTCCTGTCTCAACGATCCACTCAAAATAGAACACTCACGGGATTCTCCTATCGTTCCAGTCCCATCCGAACTTGAACTTAAGAACGCCTCGATTCCACTGTTTTTGCTGCAACTGTGCTGATCCCTTGGTGAACACAGGTTATCAAGGACACCCATCATCCAGCTAGTGAATGAGAGGTGAAGGAGCTGATACTGTTATTTTTCTCTTCTGCTCTCTATAATACTGCAAAACCGAAACCGGGATCTGTACCCACCACTCCTCCTCGCTCATATTCCTGGTTTTAAATCCGCCAACCTGACGCTCCCGCTTGGCGTTCTTCCACGTAAAGACCAGTCTATCTTATCGTCAGGCCTGCTTTTATTCCACTCACATGATCCCTTATATATTTGTGCTATTAGGTCTCAGCGAGCTGTTTGAGAATCTGTAATCACCGGCTGGCCCATGGTCACCATTATTGTGGAACATTTTGCACCTCATCAGGAAATGTTAGCAATCCGACGCACTATAGACGATCCCATCGTTCGCGTGAAGTATGATAGTTACATTCTTCTACTATATTTAATGTTAACTTGTAGCTAGGGTGTCCGTTTGCGTTCGCGTCCATGCAGTTATTTTCATATCTCGGCACACATTCGCGTCGTTCTTGACTCTAAATCATCTTCACCCTTCCCTGCGTTGCTACTGATACAACTAGGATCCTGTAGCTAACTTGGTGTATCGGTGTCCTTATAGCCCTAGCTGCGACACCCTGTACATTGGCTCTCCAAGTGAATTTAGCGCTTATCATTAATACTCCCTATTTGCCAGCAGACCAAGATAGCACCGTCGAACGGTCAACTGCCTGATTTCCGTGTGCTTCCTGATCTAAATCAGTTTAACAAATACAAACGTTTAACGTTTTGCATGCGAGCTACCGGAATTCAAGCGGTTGCTAGGCAAACCTCCACTGCGAATACTGGAATCTTGCGGCTGTCACCGCGACAGACCCACGAGGAACCTAGTAACGACGCGCATCAAACCCAGTATGATACGGAGTCGATGGAGCTGACTAGGGTTTTCTCTTCTGCTCTCTACCACTCAGTGATCTCAACGCGTAGCGAAAGGTTTGTGAATATATGATCATGCCTATGGGTAAGTTCTGCGAGTTATATCGGTGTGTGTGAAACAAGGCTTTAAGGTCGGAAAAATGAGTTTTGCAGTTGCAGAAGCCGTGCTTAGCGTTGTTGATCACATTGCTCCAGCTTTATCCCGTTCGGATAGCACCCGCGCAATGCATGTTTCCCACCTCGAAAAGATGTTTTAATGGGAGCGGGACATCGACCACTTTCTAACCTTCAGGAAGGATTGGATTGTTAGACTGAGTTAGTCTGACTCCTAACCATTCACATTTCTAGTATGGGAGGTTCTGAAGTCACTTGGAAAATGCCACCCAGCTTAGCTCAATGGGTCACAGACTTGCGCATGTGGTGCATGACGCTTGATACCGCGAGAGTTAAATCGTTCTGAATGCGAACGAGCTTAGTACGCTGATTGAATATGTCTCTGAAAGGCTGTGAGGCTTGAGGCAGCACACGAATGTGAGTGCTCACGGCCACGTTGACGTTCCCCCCGACATCACTAATGATGTATCCGAGAGTCGATTAACGTTAACCTTTTAGCATCATCTATGAGATCGAAATATTGAAGTCAGTGCCTGAGATAGCAAAAGGTACTGTGAAAACACAGTGGTACTTTCTCTGGAGACTTAGGCTGATGTTAAGCAATTTCCCACCGAAATTTGCAATTAGTGAGCTGTTGTCGATGAGAAAGAGACAACCTCATCTGAGCGGCGAGATGTGACGCTAATTTCGACTCCGGCGTTCGGTACCGAAAGTAAAATCCCTACCACGGATGAGACGATTTAAGTTTTAGCCAGTCGCGTTGGGTTGCTATTACAGGCTTAGAAGTTTCCCTGCTTCTCCTCATCACCATTATCATTACACACTAACTGAAGATGGGAAACACTAACTATTGTGCCGAAATACAAAAAGATAGCATATATGCAAAAACAAGATACCAAATATTATAGAACACAAAATGAGGTGACATACTGCTTAGTAACGTACTATGCTTTAAGGCAATCATGGTTGGAGGGGGGGAGCTCAGCGATATCGGGTTGGACAAGTAAACCCACAACACAATCGCCACTAAGGTTGGCTCCTTGCTATGTCAACAATTGTATTCAACCTAACTTGTTCCTCCCCTTTTAATCCCATGCATGGCTTGATGCATTTACGGGCGGCGTAGCCAAAAACCTGATGGTATCAACAGTAGACCTGTTTGTGGATGAAAATTGGGCATTTTGATGGTTTGCAATGACTGCAACGACGGTTCGAAGCGAGCTGTTGGACTTTGTGACTAAGTATCGCAGCTTGTGCTTTCATGGCTTCTACCGATGCATGTTAACTGTTGACAGATGTGCTCAAGAGTGTAACGGCGTTGACGTTATTGACCTCGGCTTGTGGATGGCACCGTTCGAGGGCTCGGTCTGCCACCTTAGCTAGTTCGGTGAGCGATACGGAGCCCGCAACTACGAGAACCGCTTGTGCACCTCCCGGTAGCCTCTGCAGCCATAATTTTACAAAATAGTCACATCCATGGTGGATGGATCAAGGAAACGTTGCATCTCTCGTAATATGATTGATGGTAATTTATCACCCAGTTGCAGATCCTCGAATAGCTGATGCAGGCGGGCTTTCTCAGAAGGCATGAGGCGCTCAATCATGGCTTCGAATCTGCATAGAAATATCCTTAGGTAGCTATGACGCAAGCTTACAGTAATCAGTATATCCATAGGTAATCCTGTGGTTATACTATTGTCTGGATGAGTAAATCACCAAAAGGGATTTATATCCATAGAAGATAGGACATTGAGAGATGAAACGATAGGAGATATTACCATAAGAAAAGAATAGGTAAAAATGCTACCGTAAGCAAAAATAAACAGCAAGATATCGGGAAAACAAATAGAATGAGCTCACTGGAGCGACATTAAAATTGATGACGTCGAACTTCTTCTGAAGTCGGTGTCCCTCATTTAGCGGGAGCCCAGATTTCAGTTCCAAAAGACAGGTTGTTGCAGCGCAGCCTTTATTTATTTCCACGTTGTCCGCTATAAAACGGGAGTAAAAATTACTTAGCACATAATTTCGTCGCGTGATACAGAGCAGACCCAGGCGCCGAGCAAAGACGTTGCTCTGTTCAAACGATCGGGCTCGATGTGTAGTTCACTATTCCGCACCGATCTGAGTGTACAATTATATAGTACTTTTAGTTACTAGTTAACACAATGCACTCAAGCAAACCGAGGGAATTTCCAGACTACTGCTATATTCACTGGGCCTTACTTTTCACTGTGTGATTACTGTTGACATTTTCCGTTTCTCGCTTTTAGCGCTGCGGTTTTATCTGCTTTCACCGGGATCTGTGCACTTTACGAATTTGCTCGTTTCTTCGGAAATGTCTTCTAAACATTCTTATTCTTCTGACAGCGATGATGAGGGAGAGGTACATGTACCATTACAATCTAACCTATTCATTCAGTGGTCACAACGCAATTCCAAAAAGAAGAAAATGTGCCACAACTCCAAGCGACCTGTCGTTGCAAATGTCGTTAGTTTGGAAGAGGGTGAAATTTCGAGTGATGAGCTCGATGACGACGAAGATGATGGTCTTGATGAAAACCTTATCGGTGGGGAAGACGACAAACGTAAATTAGAAAAGATGAGTGAGAAGGAACGCGAGGAAGAGTTATTTAAGCGCGCTGAGCGGAGAGACGCTATACAGGTTAGTGCACCCGCAGTATATTACGCTATCACAAGGCTCGCCGTGCTGTCAAACTGAAATTGAAAGAGAAGCGGGATAAGGAACGTGCTGAGAAGGCGTCTAGGTTTAGCACTGGTGATTCAAACAAGTTTAAAAAGCAGTCAAACTACTCGAACGTCTTCACCTCGGACAGTGAGGATGCCTACAACAGCGATTCAAGCGGCACCGGTGGACCTCGTGGTGTCAGTAAGCGCAAAATAGTTCTAGAAAAACAAAAGGTGAGTTCCACTGTTCCCGTCAGTGATCGCGGCGTATTGCTCGGTGTCGCATGATGGATTTATTTCCCCAAACCCTATCAGATTGTTCCTCTTATCCAGGAACTTCTCAAACATCAACGGATACCGTGTGATTTCCGTGCCGCACACCTTTTCTTTTTAATGACTGCTTTAGAATCTCATTAGACAACTTTTAGAGCAGTTTAAGATTAGGTCCGTTCACATCAAACTTGTGTATGATACGGTGCATCTGTTGTTTCCGTATCATCAATCAGAACTTGATTGGCGCTTCAGTCTTGCCCGAATTTCTGAGGGTAAACCACCCCCGACCCCCGTACAGGGACTTGCAGGTGGTTACGAATACTATTCCTCACATTCCCAAATGAATCTGCCATAGGTGTTGATCTTGGCCATTATACTGGCGGTACTGTACTGACAAACAGCGCGCGCTGGGGCAGCCGGTTTTCAGGTAGGTGAGGCACATAACAAACAGCGGAGATGTCTTGATTTCAGCGAATAACCAACACCATTTAGTGAACTTTAGGGCCGCTCATTCCGTTCTTCTATAAGCCGTGAGCAGTACTACCATGTGTTAGAAGAAGCACTTCCCAAGGAACAGAACTGTCCAATTTCCACCTTTTCTAGAAATCAAATGAGAAAATCGCATTGGTTGATCAAAATAATGTTCTCGATAAGAATAGAAGAGAACAAAGGACGTTCAAGAGGGCTACAAAGAATGCATAAATTTCGGTAGCCTGCGCCATATCCTTGTCTCCTCCCTGGGGGCCATTAAATTTGGAACATGCAACCTTGCCTTCTTGATCGGCCAATCAGAACGGCCCGGCGCGACTCTGGTGATTATCACAACTTGGCTACGGAGAATTTTTGAGTAGCGAACTCGGAAATGCCGTTTTCAGTGAAAGTGCTCACCGTAATACTTTAGCATCAACCAAGGCAATTTGTAGGTAACCAGACACGGTTGATCGATAATATCTTTCAACGTCCTGCTGTACAAACAAGACCAGACACTGAAAAGCAGCAGTCATCTATGGATGCGGTCGCTAGCAGCATTTGTGGGTTTCAATATGACCCGGATGCTGACTTAACCTTCGGATCTCGGTGCAGAAGATATGAAGGCATTTTCCTGTCTGAATTCGCCGATGGTAACGACGGATGGAAGTGCAGACTGCTATTGCGGAAGCTGGGAACCAAGGAGTCCGACCATTTTCTTGGTCTTATTTTGCCGAAATGTCCCAAGGATTCTAGTTTCGACCAACTTGTACTTTAATTACTTGACATTTTCGGTGAACAGTCGTCCTTATTCGACGTCCAATCCAGCTGTATGAAGCTCGTTAAGTGCGTATCAGATAATTTTTGACTTACGCGAGTACTGCCAACCGTCATTGTGAGCGTTTCAATTTAAAAGAAGCTACGGACGATCAGTTCAAGACCCTGATTCCTGTTTGTGGTCTCCAAGCGCCCCAGGATGCCGAAATACACACGAGACTGTTTAGCAAGATTGAACAGGACCTGTCCATAAACCTCATGCCCATCACTTCCGAATGCCAGAGAGTAATTAACTTGAAACACAACACAAACTTGCTTGCTCAAGGCCGCAGTCCATATCCCCTAGATGTGCTGACGGTGTCAACTTAGAGGTTTTTGAACAGCCAATCAAAACGGCCCGGCAGGAGCTTGGTGACCATAACCCGCAGGCGTTGGTGGGCGAACGCAGTCTTATAATGTCTTTAGTGCACATTGACCCGGTCTCTGATTCACACGCCACTGGTTGCTTCTGTAATGTTGCAGACGCTTCCCATACCGATAACTTTATTTCAGAGTGACAGAGGCTTTTGTAAACCACATGAGCCTTTGCATTGCGTGCGGTTGTATCCTTTGCGGTACAAAAGCAAAGGATAGGATAAGCAAACTGATCGGTCACTTCGGGCGGTTGTTTCATGATTTCGAAAACTGGCAGCACCAGACAGCGTGCTTCACGTTCGTCAGCAACACTTACAAAACATCTGGATCCATTTCAAGGAGAGTTGCTTTGCTCGCATACTGTAATTTAGATAGTATATCATGTTACCTCAAGTGACCGCGATGCTCGTACTTTTGTCCTTTCGGGTACCAAATGTGTGCTATTGCTAAAATTCATTTCATTCGATCTCAATGCTTTTTCTGATTGTAACATAAGCTAAATCAACAACAAAGTACATTGCTTTCAGCTGCTGCTTTCTGACGCCATTGGAACTTCCAAGTCGTATCGCACACATGCGGCCGTCCACTTAGGTCCAATGTGAGCGACTAGGACATCGCAAGTGCCGCGAATTATGGATTTGTAGGCCTCATCCTTGGAACGCAAATTTTATTAACTACATTAAAACGTTGTTTTTCTGTATGCGCTTTTCATAGGCGCGACATGCAATTGAATGCTAACTTGTCCCAGGTGCGTAAAGCAGATTCTGAACTTGGCCTAACGGAAAATTTCCGCCGGTCTGTGAAGTCAGCGAATATCTATTGTTGATCGATCTATATGTAAATATAGTTGCGTCAGTCTATAACTAGACATTGAGCCATCGAAAAACCATAGGGAACAAAATAATGGTGTACAAATGTCAGAAACAGGGAACAAATATTTTGGGCTTTTTGTTTATTTTTGTGTTTTCACACGCCATTTTGTTTCTTTTGGCATTTTGAATGGTAAAACTCTATTCACATTGTTCAAAACACTTTAAAATACAGTCCTTCCATTAATTCCGGTTTCGCGCCATGTCGCCAAGTTCATCGAGCCATTGGCAGTCCTCATCCTTGGGCCCCCCACCAGGAAGATGTACAGGGTCGATGATGGCGGGACATGAGGTCAGCGATTTCATGGTTTGCCGCCAAGTGATTGGCTGACCTCCATGCCTTCTCTTCCAATTCGATTCCGTGCGAGCAAATAATGCACGGCATAGCGAGCACTCGCATGACATACGTAGAACATGGTCAAACCACCTCAATTGACGCATTGCGACAAGGCGATCAAGCGGAGGGCTCATGTTTTCCAAGGCGCGATACCGGACTTCACCGTTGCGAACCCGGTGCTGCCACCACATACGGGCTATCCGCCGCAAACATGTCGAAGGTCGAAAGCCTACGCATCTCATCCATGCAAATCATCATCATCATCAGCGTTGTAGAATATCCCCTTTAGGGAGAGGGGTAAATCCCGCCGACACCACAAATGACTTAGGTTGCTAAATGTCGACCGGGCTTTGACGATGCGAAGAGATACCATCAGCAGAAATACAGCTTCCGAGGTGGACAAAGTTGTCTATAAGCTGTAGCTGTGTTCCTTCAATGGTAAGTGAGAGGGGAGACGACTTCCAGTCCTGGAGTAGCACTTTGCACTTCACTAGGGAAAAGCGCATACCATACTTAGACGCTTTAATCGCCAGACGGTTCAAAAAAGCTGTACACTCTCTGAATCGTCACTAAGTAGAGCGATATCATCAACATAATCTAAGTCGGTCAAGCGATTGCCAGGAAGAAGGTAAACACCAAGATTTTTGGAGCCTTCCAAAGATCTTGACAGCACGTTCTCAAGTGCAAAATTGAAGAGGAATGGAGACAAAGGGCGCCCTTTTCGCATACCACTCTACTTAGCGAAGGGTGAGGAACGCTTGCCATAGATCCTCACTATCTGACACTTGGGAGTAAGGCGGCCGAATGATGGAAGTGTACTATTCGGGGACTCCATTTCTTAGCAAACGGTACCATAAAGCAGACCGATCGACGAAGTCAAAGACAGCTCAAATATCCAGGAAAACGACAATAGTTGGTCCGTGGTGGAGATTGCTTTGTTCAAGAATTTGACGAAGTGTGTAGATCTAGTCCACGCATCTTCGACCGGACGGAAACCAGCTTGTTCCTCTCATTATAACAACTCGCGGATCGGGGATAGTCTGCGGAGCAGTATGGATGCCAGCAGTTTGGAAGCAATCGGCATGAGACTGATTTCGGCACAGAATGTGCGAGCACCTTACTTGAAAATAGGGACGATTACTGACTCAGGAGGATGGCATCTCCTCTTCGTTTCCTATGTTGGAAAACAGCGATGTCAACTGATTGACAAGTGCTGGGCCGCCAAACTTGAACATCTCCGGAGGAAGTTTGTCCGAGTCGAGATACTTGATTCTCTTGAGCTGTCGAATCTCGATGAAAACCGCTTCATTAGGTGACACAGTGCATGCAATTGGGTGTACTTGGCATACAAGCGGACAATGGATGGGGATTGAATTGGGACTGAACATGTTCGATGCAACCTTCTACGCGTCTTCGCAGGTTAGTGATTCGTGACCCATCCGCTTCACTGATAGCCTCACTGACACCAGACCTTCTAGGGACCGTGAACCGAATGGGCTGGAAGAGCTTGTGGAAATAGCTGAAGAGAGCATCGATCTCCATCATTGAAGCGCGCTGAGACCACCAAGTATCGCGATCCTTACGCAAGTTTTGTTTGAGTTGCAGCGAGGTGAAGTCAGGACAGTTTGTGGACGCTGAAAAATCCTATGTGGAACGACATCCTAGGTTTGAAACGTGATCTATCTTCCTTTCTAGTATGATTTATGGGTGCAGTAGTTATCTCATCCTGCTTAACGCGTGAAAAATATTGAGGAAGGTGGGGAGTGAGAGATCGGAAAAGATTACTGCTTACCATTGTGCAGTGGACTGATGATGCCTCCAGATGCCCATTCTGAAGAACGGTTTTACATAAGGGCAGCCACCTCTAGCTTATTGCTGATTAATTGGACCCACAAGCAGGGAAAGATATAAAGCTGTATCACAAACTCTTCTCACTGGACTTCTGCGTCCTACCAGAAATGCAGCATGCTATTTAGTAAATTTTATGGTATAGACCTCACAAATGCCAACTCACTGTTTGCCACTATTTTAACCTTAAAGCCAGCTCACATGTCGAATGGAATTACTATGTAGATTCCCGACATGATAAACCCAATTTCTTCCGCCATAGCTTGGCAACTTGGTTTGCAACGTATTTCCCTCTTAACGCTCTACATGTTTCTCCACTGCTCTGTTCATCGGGAGTCGAGAACCACTAGCCCCGTACCTGCATTTCAAGTTACTTTTGATTATTTGTTTTAGTCGGGTGCAGTTTTTCGCTCATCAAAACATACGGAGTGAGCGTTAGGTGGCACTGTCCCCATTTTCATCAATGAACAAACAAACCACTTTATTCACTGTCAGTATTCGCGTCATGCATTATGCCCGGACATTTCCACATACATCGCGTTTATAGTCTCGTATGCTTACCAAACATCATGTTATTTAGTGCATTTAACGCTGCGCTTGCTAGATATCTTTTTCTTTTTCTAACTGCGATTTGGCAAAATCTCCCAGGAAGCACGCAGTCATAAATTTCATGAGCTCATCGAGCGTCGGCGCCAGCAGGCCGCTAAAAAGCGTCGTTTGCAGTCGGGATCCGAAGATGACCTGGAAGCGAATTCCCAAAATGCCGCTGTTCGTTCGAGTGCGGCTAGCAGCTTCTCTGATTCGGATGCCGATGATCCATCTGACCGAAGGGGCGACGCTAGTATAAAGCACAGAGCTTCTATGTCACAACGCATTTTCTCCGATGCATCTGATTCTACCGACTCCAGTCGCCCTGATACGAGACGGGATGCTCGCCGTCCAAGGTGCGTTTTACTCTGTTGCACTCGCTAACCAACACTGTAACTTACTTTCACTTTCGACCTTCTCACACTGCTTTTACTTCACTCATTATAATTACGTTACATCTTGGTACGCAGTCTCATAACAGAGCCTTGTCAACACGTGACCACCATTTGTTGTTGGCACTTATTATATCTGACTGCCCTTTGGGTGCATGACAATATTTCTCCTTCTCCGGGCTTTGTGAGCTTATTCCACATTGCATAGATATCTCCAGCCATTTCTCTTGCATACACCTCATTTTTATTGTGGGCTTTTCTCTCCTTTATTTCAGCTTGTCTAGTCTTTCTGAATCACAACGCTCTGGCTCTTCTAGCGAGGATGACACTCGCGGCCGGAGCCGTTCCCCCGAGGAGGAACTGGTTTCATCCTTGGAGCAATTGTCGCGTATTCGCTTGTCCCGCTTCAAAATGGAGAAGTGGGTTCACATGCCTTTCTTTTCTGTAAGTTTTCAAGCGGCGGGCGTTCAAATTTGTTTTTTTTACTCACTGGCCGTCGCTTCATTTCGTAATTTAGGCTTATAAATATTGGCACTGCGAGCCGTTGAATTGAATTGCAAGGTTTTATCAACAATACCATACGTCGCAGTCAGAGACCAGGTGAGGCAGATGCATGCAATGGACGCAAGATAAATTCAAACGAATCATTGCATATTGAGAGGGTGAATTTGAGAAGCGTGTTATCTAATACGAGAATGCCACTGGCTGGTCGACTTCACATCACTGACTGGAACAGTAAGTCACTTATGTCCTATCCAGGGTGACCATACTTGTTTATGCACGTCTTCTAGGTAGTTTCTTCGGGTTCCTCTGCCACAGCGCACCTAGTCGCCTGTGACTTTCGTCCAGTCAATCGTACTTTCGATGGATATACATGACAGCACCATTTGCTTTTGATTCACTGACCAATATTTTATCGTCTCCATCGTTACTGACATATGAAAGGAAACCTAGTTCCTGACACTCGGTACCTGCCGTTTGCTCTTCTAGACACCAGAAGGTGAGAGTAGACTGGCTGATTTACTTTCATACCACTGTACACTTCAGTAGTGGGGTAGGCACAAGCCAACACTGCAGTGTGTCCTGTACCGTAGCTCAACATTATTTGTGTAGTGGCAGAATATGGCTTCATAATGGAGCTGCTAGGCGCATACTCCATTCCTCTCACTTCCTACTCACTTGGAATGATAACCACTGACGAGGTGGCCGAATGAATAGTGTGCGTTAACATAACCCGAAAGCCGGGAATTGGATAAGTCAGTCCCAGCGTATCCCAACTTGTCACGTTCAACCCACACAACAAGCATTCAGGTTTAGGATGATAAGGAGCCTTAACATTTCTTCGGAATTCCTATTTTCGCACACGTTTCATGTAACGATTCCAAGGTGGTTGTCAATGCTCCTCACACTTAGTGGGAACATTGTGCAAACATCTGACCGACGATCCAATGTACCAGTTACCCTTGAGTCCTCCATTATCTGCTTAGAAGGTAACTGCTTAACCGTAAGATACTTTGGGTAGGTCATCTGTCTCGCATAACTTGTGCCGAATCTTTCGTAGTTTGTGCCCTTTAGCTATGCGCAGGCCAACTGCTGAAGTTAGCAAACATCGACATAAGCACCCTTTCAAACACTGGCTCATTCGTTTCGCAGTATGTTTAAGCTTATGTTTCACCACTAAGAGCTGTTTGCTTCTTTGCAACTTGCCATCCTATCTGGCCTCATTCTCAATGTTAACCAACTACTGATGTGACACCATTTTTCAGTACGTACTCCCGTGACGTGAGTTACTTGTAGACGGTGAGCCACACAATTATCCCCTTTCGCTTGCTAGCCTTCGATCGTCCATACTAACGGCAATCGCGTCATTGTTTTAACGCCTTGGAATTTGAGCGGTGCGATGTATTACTTTCCCTCGTGATCCATTCGTCTGCTCAGTTTTTGGCTCTGTCTCAATTATCGGACGATGGCCGAAAGAATTACGTGCTTGTCTTGTATTCCTGAGATCACCGACTTGAATCAGCCTAGGCGGGGGTGACCTCGCGGTATATCTGGCCCACGCACTGACTTGTGGTGGTCGCATGGCAGCGAAGCGTCGTCAAGGTGTTCCGGAATATTGCTGATGTCTGTCTTATTTCCCAATTCCCTAAAAGTCACCCATCGTTCTGTACCTTTAAGGATCACAAGTCTGCCTTATAATCCGAGGGCGCGGATTCGCGTCTGCGTACGAACCGGATGACCCTTGCAGTATCCTTAGCCTATGTGTAACCGGTGGTGGTTGCGCAGCAGCGATGCGTACCGGCGTACTGCTAGCACTTTTTACCTTTATAAAACACCAATACTATATTAAGGGGTTGTAAGCGAATTTTTATTTGTAGCAATCAAACCCTATGAGCCAATGTGCTTTGGTCAAATGGGCGGATCTCACAGCTAACGGTCGATATTCATAGTGGGTGAATCAATCCATCGTTTCCCGTCTTCTTTACTTGAACGTCATCCACCTTCAGTAGACCGCTTCTGATATTGTTGCCCGCGTGACTTACCTTGTGTAGGTTTCATTAAGCGTTTTCCTTAAGAGTACCTTTGAGACGCGAAGAAACCTCCATCTGGAATGGAGTCTCTAGACTAACCGGTCACGATTCGGTCTGTACCACCTTAACACGAAGCAATCCGGGAGAAGAGACCAGTTGAACCGCTCTCTAAAGTGCCAGACAGTGCTCTCTATTGTTAAAATACTGGTGTTTTCTGTAAGTCCTTAACTGATGCACGGGCTCCTGGGACCAGTAATGCGAATCAGTCGCAGTACTTTGAGTTTGGTATCAGCAGCTCCCACTTTCTCCGTTTCTTAGACTTTGAGTCCATCAGATTTTCTTGGTTCGCAGACTCCGCTATAGTCTATTCGATTCCAGCAAAATTTCTTATTCAGCTTCCTAGCAGTTTCACTGACCTGCAATATCTGATGCGATACTAGTGGACAGTGCCCCAATCAGTCTCTACTGTCGTGCATGGTAGCTGAAATATTAACCTGCTGAACTTCGATGTCTTGTGAAGGCCTTATTATACTTTATTGTCCTTGACACTTATCATCGTGTATTTCGTAAGTATAAGCTTTATTTTTCCTTTATATTTAGTGTTTTGTTTTACGGCACCTTATTTGCGGTGTATCTGTCCCTAGCAGCAATTTCCCTAGATTTCTCTGTATGTGGAGGTTTGCGCAGCCAGGCTAAGTCGCATAGCAAATACACATCCGGAAAGGTGCTCGACAGCCGTTCCATCCCATTAAGGATTTTCGTTGGCACATTGAACTTATCCGGAGCCAGCAACTTAAGTCACTCAGCCAGGGGTGACGGCTTCAGAACACCATGACTGCCAGCTGTTTATTGGCGAGCGCTCAGTTTACCAACATTCACACTGCTTGTTTTCTCTTAAATCATGAACTTCTCCGATCGATTTTATTTTTTGTGTTATCAATCTGTGTCAAATAATTCGACGGTCTGGCTGCTTATGTGCCGTATACTGCTTTTCAGTAAAATATGAATTTATTTATATCTTTGTTGTAGGATTTAGTCAGGGGCTGTTTCGTTCGGATCAATATCGGGCTGAATCAAGGGGTCCCAGTGTATCGATGCGCAGAAATAGTTGACATTGTGGAGACTCCGAAGATTTATGACCTTGGGGACACACGGTGAGTTCGAAGTGCATGAGTTGCATTCATGTATGCTTTGTTTTCAATCATCACAGAACACCATCCGTTATCCACCCTGTTTTCCGCTGCGTTACGTTACTCTTCACTATGTGTGCTTATAGGCTTTCAAACACTTGAATTGGCTGACAGAGTTCCACACGTGTCGGCTTATGCTTCGGAACTTGACGCTAGGGGCTGTTTAGCGTTGTACCGATACCTCGCAAATTATCGCTGCCATCAGACACCCGAAATCACTCGGTTCTTCTAACCTGCGTATGGGTGAACCACATTTTGTTGCTTTATTTCCGCCCCCTCATGTTCCATCGCACTAAGCTAGGTGGTATTGCTTTCCCATTGCTGTTAGAGCCACCTTATACTGAACAAGTCAGTGGATAGAGATCAGCCAAACTCATTCTCAGCATCTTGAGTAGATTGCGAAGACTTGCTTTTCCGTACATTCGCGAGGGACAGCAGTTCAGAGTAGTAATAATAGTAATAGTAATAATAATATTTATATTACTCATGATCCTAGGAGCTGTGTTTGTATCGACACAGACCAATACGTGCGAAAGCAACCAACCTCTTGCATGGGCGATATGCATGTGTACAATATGGATGCATGAGATTAATGTGATAGCGTATTCGTCCATGACTGAGGCAGAAGCCAAGGTTTGGAATGGTAGATTTTATACATTTTGGCACCCTTTTGAATTAGTTCCTCGAGAACTTTCTCCCATGTGAACATGGTCATTATAGTATTATTATATTATTATAGTATTCAGGTCAATGCAACTTGCGAGCTTATTACTGAATTTTGCCCCATTGTCACATGACCTGCGTGTGATTGGTTGTTTATTCCACAGGAACAAATTGGCGCGCATGCCTCTTCTAGTCTCTAGTATACTCAGTGTATAATCTTTGTTGCGAAGCTCTCGAATTGAACTATGTTGCAGTCCAAATGTAGGTAGATCGGAATAAATTCTTTTGTGTAACTGGATGTAAAGCATTACTAAGCTATGCTTCAATCGTCGCATCCAGTGATTCGAACTGAAGTTCGTTGCAATACTTTCAAAAACTCATGGCAGAGTGCTTACCAATCAGATGTTTATTAAACGACATCTGCAGGTGTTCTAGAGCACTTCTGTTGCTCTTTCTCATGTTGCCGTGCATTATCCTATAGTACTCAAGGATGCAACGGGTGAGTAACTTGCTAAGTTCAACTCTAGCATGCATTGTGCGTATTTTGTTGGTATGTTGAACACGCTTGGTCTGACACGTGCTACTTAATATTGGGCCCATTCAGAGAAATTGAAGGTAGATAAGTGCCTAATTCCGATATCTCGTGCTTGGATAGAAGTATAGGGACATGTACATTGTTCAGTGTTATAGATCCTTCTGAGATGGAACAGCCGTCAAAACATGATGCTTGATTCCTTAGCCGATAAGTTCATCATCCACGTGTTGCACTAATCCTCAAGAGAATATAACTCACCTTGAATGAGCACAGGCTTTCCGTGAAGTTTATACCTAGTCCTGATATCGCCGGCGAATAAAAATAGCCGAACATCTTTTAAAAATGTGGTTTTCTCATTGATATGGAATAAGAGCAGCGAAGGACCGGGCACACTCCCTTAAATGACCCCGCTAGTAAATTTGGAGTAAGGACAACATGACACATGTGAATGTCGAGAGAGCTGGGGCACGAAAGAAACCTAAGCATCATATCTAGATTGCCGCTGTCTTGGCCCTGGACCAGCCTTGTCATTTGGACAGATTGGCTTAGGGTTGGATCAGATATTTGACCTCCATCGGATGTATGTGAGGTGGGAATACATGCGTGTCCATTCCCGCCACTGCTGAGAAGAGGTTGTTGAGATAGATCGTGGCGGAGCGAAGCAGGGAGTAACATTGTCCGGTTGGACGATTTCTTTCTGTTATCTGTACGCTTCCAGTGTTTATTGTAGAGTGGAGGATGAGGACTTAGCGTAGCCAAGAGACAGTTGTTATTGGTCCTAATCAACAGAGCAGGTTGGTTTTCGTGGTGGTTTTAGCAGGCTAGTTGCTAGAGAACTTTGTGTGCCACCGAGTATTGCGTAGCTGTACGGCTTTTAAAGACACCGGTCTCTGGAGTGTTTAAATCGTCCTTGGGCGGCAGTAAGATACCGATTACATTATGTTAAAATTGCGTCAACAGTGTAAAGTCCGAAAGGAACTTTGATGTATCCCCAACCTGGATTGCTTACATGAGGACACGGTATCTCTATTGCCTAATTATCTTGCTCATTTCCACTGCTTTACTGTGTCTTACAAGCGGTTAACATATCGTATATTTATTCCTTTCACTCGATCACTGACACATCCTTGACGTTTCAAGGTCATTCATATTATTATGTCACTGTGACACTGCCCAAATACTCGCTCCGCCCCACGCTGTACAGTTTCTGCTTACTTGCATTGCGATTGCAAAACCTATTCGTAAGTCATGTACTGTATTTAATATGCCTTATAGAACCACGGTTACAGGATAATTCGTTTTATTCTTCTGCCCAGACCGTGCGTTAAGTCTAGGTTTATTTTGTTCGTAGTTTCTAGTTTAGTTTTTGTACGACGTACTTAGTTTAGGCTCAGTATCGTTGGTACATAAGTTGAATAATGCAATCATGTCCGTTTCTGGTGATTCTCTTGATGAGAACGTCGCTGATGCTGAGAAACTGCGGAGAGCTGAATCCCGTATTCGTCTGTTGGAGTCGGCTTTAACGAGCATGTGCAGGTTGCATGCGAAGACGCTTGATGTTAAGGACTACTGCGAACCTGAGTTTGAGTCGGATGCGCTTATGAATGAACGATTTATTCCGGTAGACGATTGTGTGCTTCCGCCCGAAGTTGCCATCTGCTCGTCATTTTTGTAAGCTGTTAATAGGGGTTCGCGCGTTCTGTCCGTAGCTCACTTGGTTTGTCCGTCGGCATCCGTTGGTGCCCGCGTTCGATCCCAGCCGGGGGCGTTTTGCTCCGGCCTTCAAGCTGACAGTAACCTGTGTCCGGAATGCAAATCCAGCGATTTTGGACCCAGCACGTCTTCCTGTCTTCCAAAACGTGAACTGACAACATTCGATGGAGATCCTGCCCGCTATTGGATGTTTATGCGATGCTTCGAAGCCAATGTTTCCAGAACTACTTTCGATCCAACTATCAGGCTTTCATATCTGATACAGTACTGTCGTGGCGAAGCCAAAAAAGCTATCGAAAGTTGCTTAATACTTGACCCTGGTGAAGGTTTTGAAGAAGCGACGAACATTTTGCGCAGACGCTTCGGACGGCCCCACATGATTGCTGGGACTCATATTAATGCTCTAACTGGTGGCCCTAACATCAGGCCCAATGATTTCGCGGCTGTCTCGTTTAGCTGTGGAACTGCGTCCATGCTACTTCACGTTGAAACAATTGAGGTATGAATCCGATTTGAACGCGTCCAGAACAATCAGCTCTATCATCAAGAGACTCCCAACCATCTGCAATTCAAGTGAGCCGAGCATGCCGCCAGAGTTATCCGCACCGAAAGAGAACCGAACTTCATTGATTTGACAGCTTTCGTGGATGAAACCGCAGACGTCGTCGATACTTACTTGTCCTTTGCCGCACGTCCCTACGGACCACCGGCCATCACCGATAGAGGCAGAAGCTTAAACTCTCGGGAATATGCCGCTTGCCTAAACATTGCCGCTTCATCAGAATGAAATTTCCCTGTCTTTCGTGTGAACAACGCCACTACTTAGATCAGTGCGATGATTTCCAAAATCTCAGCCTCAACAAACGTCTTGTATTCTGTCGCGCTCATAGACTGTGTCAGCTCTGTCTCAAACCGAATCATGATCTACCAAATTGTCGAGCACGGTGTTGTGGGTCGAACAATTGTAAGCTGCTGCACCACCCGCTACTCCACGTTGATCGAAGCAATTTCGGAACAGCAAACACTGAAGGATCCAGTTTTGCTCTCAGTCACGTCGAACGCTGTGTTGTGTCGCTTGGCTTGTTACCTGTGCTTGTTTCTGGGCCTGCTGGTACCATTCGAACATTAGCCTTAATAGATAATGGATCAGATACTTCATTGATTGATTCAACATTGCTACAAGTTATCGGGGTTCAAGGGTCCGTAACGACACTTAACATTAGCACCGTTGCTGGCCGATGTCAAGTGGAGTCCCAGTTGGTTAGTGCAACTGTTTGATCTATAGATGGGGATGAGGCAGTCCAATTAGATTCAATTAGGTCAGCCAGTCGTCTCCCTGAAAAACTTGGAACGAGAAACAGGAACAACGATTTCGACAGATGGTCCTACCTCTCCGATCTACGGTTACCGGAGCTTGAAAAAAAGGTTGAACTTTTGGTTGGTTGCGATAACCCATACCTACACTGGACATTAGATCAGAGATGCGGGGATCCTGGTGATCCGTATGCTGTTAAAACTCCATTGGGCTGGATCGTACTGGGACCGAACAAACAGCACGAGATTATGAGAGATCAATCCACACCACTGATAGTTGATCGAACACGGAGGATCAACACTTCACTGCGATACCACTGATCTTCATCAACTACTAGAGCGAATGTATAAAAGGGAATTTGATGGACTAGATAGTCCACGACTAGCCATGTCTGTGAACGACGGACGCGCGTTAAGACTAATGGAAGCTTCTAAAAGAAAACTTGGTACCCACTACGAGATGGCGTTACCATGGCAAGCCGGGAGACGTCGGTTGCCAGATAACCGACAATTCGCACTGATGAGGCTTGCCATGTTGAGTAAACGTTTGTTGAAGAATGCCGCGCTGCGCCAAGTACACTCCAAGGTAGTGAAAGAAAATATATTTAGAGGATATGCTGAACTCGCTCCAGTACAGGAACAGCAGATAAAAGGGGCAATCTGGTACATACCCCACCACTCGGTATCGCATCCCCGTAAGCCCGGTACATTGCGAGTGGTCTTCGATTGTCAAGCTTCA